AACAGCATGACTATTTGGATGCGGGGGACAAAGAGGAGGAGGTGGCGGAGGCAGTAGACAAGCACATAACGGGGAGGAGGAGGAGGGGGAGGAGGAGGAGGAGGCGGCACCGCTGGTCCCCGTGTGAGCGCAGAGAGCGCTGGAAGCGGCGCAGGGGGGGACTCCCCTCCTCTCCCCTCGCCGGGCGGCGATGCTGCGGGGCACGCAGCGACAGCGTGCCGGGCTGCGGGTAGAGCTGCCTGCCTGCGGCTCTGGGCCACGCCAAGACCTCTGGGCGCCCACTAAGATGTGTCGAAACTGATACAGAGGGGAAAAAAGTCACCGCTCATACGCTTAAACGCGCGAGCAGTGTGCCCTGTTGGCGAGCCAAGTCGAAATAGCGCCACTGATTGATTCTTGTCCTAAAATTAGGAATTTGCACCAGCTGGCATTTAAATTGCTCATTTTTCTTGTCTGCTCTGCACAGAATTCCAAGTGTTGTACCCAGCCGGTGGCATTTGGCCGTCAACATTATGAATTTCTTTTCTTCTCCGTCTATGTTAGAAAAGAGATTAACTGCGTTGAACTGATCATGAAACACGTTTTAACAAAGATTTGCATTTTTTAAAAACACTGTCTTTCATATCACATAATACACTGCTTTCTTTTGGTCACCCAGTACCGAACTTTGTGAACTGTTCTTTGCTTCGCCGTCTTCACTGAGCTTCGCTTTTGGTAAAGCCCACTGAATGTGAAGGAAGTCTCTTAATGAGTTCAGTGGCCCCAGAACCAAACGTCAGACTGAAGCTGATGACATCATCACTATGCAAATCGTTTATTTCTTTAACTACATTGCCTGCTGTGTGTGTTAACCAGTTTAGTGGTGTCCATTTTCGATGCGATGCGATTTCATTACTAATGCAGGTTTCTTAGGAAGCAGTGCTCAAGCTTATGCTGGTGCTCCTGTGGCAGCAGTCATTTCAGGCTGTAAACACCCAGTTTCAGGAATAACAAAAGACATTTACACTGTGGAATTTTGCCAATGTGAGTAACAGTAGAAGATAAATATTTATGGTCTGAATTGCTCTCTTAGGTCCTAATCCATCTCTGGATGAAGTTTAACAGGCCTTGGGAATGGGAGTAAATTTTCAGTACAGTAAGTTATTGGCTATACACAGATTTTTCTAAAAATAATGAAAAGTGGGAGAGGATATGCTGATAGCACATCTCTCTCTTGTTTGCATGCAGGTAGCTTTGATTTTATTTGACATGTCCACCATGTATTATTTTTGTATGGGACCTATTATGCGGTACATGACAAATAATCACCCAAGGCTATTAATACACTATTGATTCTTGAATGATGGCTTATAAATGGTTTGTCTTTTCCAAACTTCTTTAACCAGCAACTTCAGGAGTTGGGCACATTCATGTTTGAAGCTGAATTTCCAAAACAGAGCTTCTGCTTCTGTACTCAGAGGAAATAGAAAAGTATGATCTACTGGACTGGACTGGGGAGAAATGTTTCATCTTCCAAGTGTCAGATCCTGAAGGCACTTGGACAGCAAATGACATCGTTTAGTTGAGAACTTGTGTGGAGTGCAGTAGGAGAAGGGGAACACCGGCTCTGGTTAGCAGCAGAAAAAGCATTAATATGGGACACATGTCAGTGCAATGTCAATAGCAATATTCTACCAGGAAAACATGGGTTCGGGTATTTTGTATTCCCAGCAGTTCACAGGAGAGTTAACTGGCAGCAGTGCTGCTGTTTCTGTCACCTGTCAGAAAGCAGATGTGGAGAGAAATAAGATGCTTTTCCAGCCATTTCTGATGAGGCACATGATTGTAGAAGCAACTTGCTTCTCTCTCTGTATCATCTACGTGGCAAGGTGGACCTCCCCTTCCCCCTGCCTCCCCTCCCAGCCCTTTCTTCTAGAATATTTCTCCTCTTCATCCGTCTCTCACTGCAGTGCTGACGCTCACACTGACAGCATCTGGCCACTTTGCTGGACTTTACATCAATCCTCTTTTCTACTGTCCTAGTTTCTCTTGTCTTCAGCCAATTGATTGTTTGACAAATAATGCTAAAATATATATGCTAAATCATGCCTGCACTATTAGCATGGATAAGCATGAGAGCGTTTGAATAAATTTATTTGCATGTAAAGATGCCTACTCGTGCACGGATACTATTGCTTTACTAATCTAGCCGATGAAATTGTGGTTACCTCTAGGAAGTGAGCAGGTCAGGAACCTGCTAGGTTTGCTGCTCTGCAGGTGTAAACTGTATTCAGGCAAATATTGATTCCTTCATTATATTTATTTATCTTTAATCAGTGATCTTTGTGTCTACTGAAGAACAAGCAAAAAAGGAATAGGACCACAGCCAAATCAGCAATTACTTTTGGGAAGCTGTTGACGATTTGGTTTTCCTATTGAACTTTTTACTATTATATAATTGTTAATTAAGATTGGTCAAAAAGGAGGGAAGAAAAGCAGTGGGATTTTTTCCAGTTGTTATCTGAGCTTTCAACAGAACAGTTGAGCAAAATTTCATGCTTTGAAAAATGCTGGTCAGCTCCACCTCTTTTGTTAAGTCTCTACCTTTTATTTGCTTTAACCATCCTCTAAAGTATACACGTGCTTATTATACCCAGATTTAATAATATTATCACTTTATTAATTTTTAATAAGAAATAGTTATAAACTCTGAAATTAGTTCCAAAAGGATATATTTATTTAGGAATCAAAATTTTGAGGACTTACCAATACTTCCCTCTGAGCGAAACACCCCTAAGCCATTAGGGCATAGGCTAAAGGCACAGAGCATCACAAAGCTGGTGATGAAAAAAAATGTTTTAATGTGGTATCTGACTCTCAGGCTTTGGCAGACTGAATGGTAGCCTCTCCTGAATCACCTCTGTGGTACCGTAGAGACTGCATAGCCAAGTGAGCTATGCAGACAAATAAAATAGCCATAAACACACAGGCAATGATACTGCAAATGATCACCAGACTGGAAACGATGTTGGAGAACAGTACTTATTAGCAGTCAAAATTCTGACTGCAGCTGAAAATTCCTCTGTGGCAAGATGTCCTGGATGCTGTCATGGGAAGCAGCATGGTGTCGTTACAAGCACTGGGGAGAAGTGACATTTTGCTGGTTTGCCTACAGGTTCCTTAAACGCTGAAATTTAGAAAAAAACACTTCTGGTTCTCACCATCCAGGCTGAGAAATGCACTACCTTTCTGGCTTCTTTGGGAAAAGTAATCCTTTTTAAAGCTGTCTCTTTTTAAGATTTACATTTATTTTTAGTGCTTGGAGTTTAATTTGCAATAATTCATAATTAACTTAGCTTTCTGTATGAATTAATCATTTGCAGTTATTGCTACTGGGGAAAAATTCTGCTATAAATAATTCTTACAGTTTAAGTTGGAAGACATACCTGGCAGCTTATGTTTTACTAATAACAAGTAATATACTTAGTCAGCTTTTTCAACCTTTGTAGCTCTTTCAAGACTTTTTTCTTTGTGCCCGACAGTCATGCTACTAATGACTGTGTGGTAGTTAGTTCCACTGAATAATGCATCTCCTCTTCCCCAGGCATTGAGGATATGCATTGTATTTTAATCTTCTGCCATATAGCCTACAGTAAGTGTATGTGTGAATGTGTATATTTATATATATGATTGTTCACTGTGGCATGTAATGTTCAGAGGAGAGAGAAAAAAAGCAGAAATTTTGCTTTTAAGAGGGTATCTATAATGCCAAACATTTATTTAGTTGAACAACTGTGTGTGTGATAACCAGGTCTGAGACTATGAGGGGTTCATCTTTAAAGCTAGAAAGTCTCAGGGTGGAGAAAGGGTGTGCGGGGGAAGAAGAGATACTACTGTGTCTCTGCGGAAAGTCTCAGGGTGGAGAAAGGGTGTGCGAGGGAAGAAGAGATACTACTGTGTCTCTGCTAAAAAGAAGTAAAACACCACTTGTTCCCCTTTGCACAGAAGCAACAATCCTAACTTTAATGTAGGAACATAGGGCAGCCATTTCCCCATGCACCAAGAAACTGTGGCAGGAGGTGCCGACGTTTTTTAGAGATGTAGGAAGGCTGTAGTGGAAGAGGAGTAGGAGGAGAGATGAAGATAAATAGGTGATGCTTTGTTGTGATGTTCATAGGAAATGATAGACGTCAGGAGACTTATAGATGTGTTATGGAGAAAACCCTGGACCACAATAGATAATGGCATAGGCTATCTCTATGCAGTAAATAATTTAACCTGCTAAAAAGTAAAGTTTTTCAAGTTAGGGCACTTTTTCTAAAAAATTGTTCACACATAGTCTTGACCCAAAGTAGCAGCAGCAGTCTGAGGTGCAGTCCCTTCAGGTTTTCTCCATACCATTCACACTGAAAAAACAAACAAACGAACAAAAGCTGATACAGTTGGGAAACAGTATTGTAAGAGTTTCAATGAGGATTTGAAATTTTCAGTGTTTCAGAACTAGGAAATTTTATTCTACAGCACAACATCCCTCCTCTAAAATTCACTTTTTAAACTATTTTGCTATTCACAGTAGAAAAAACATTCAGCTATTCTGGAGTTGGGGAAGTGGTTGAGTAGAAAATCACCACTTACCCTGCTCCCTATCTAAACCCCTGAAGAAAACACATAGCCTGTAATACTTAAGCTAGCACATTACAGCATGAAAACAGAATTTAGCTATATATGGGAAAATATTTAGCTACATATGGGTACAGTAGCTAAAGTAATGGCAGAATAAACGCCAGTAATGCTTGATCAGTGCAATGGTTTCCTGGTATGCCTCAGGTGTATATCCTCGCCTTTTAGACTTGCTTGAAAATTTAACCTAAAGAAATCCAAAACTGATGAAGGAGGGGTCAAATATCAGCACTGGCCCTGATTTCTCCTCCTGTCTCCCAGTGCTATGTTACTATTGCCTGTCTGCGACACGAGAGGAGGGAAGGGCAGTCCCCTTCAGTCCCTCACCCCAGAACATCATCGTTTCTCTGCTGGCTTTTTGCACGCAGAATATTTTTCCTTCCTGAGACTGAACATTAGGAAGAGCCGCATGATGCTGAGGATTTAATGTGACTCTTCCTGGGACCTGTCTGGAGAGCCATGATGGCCAGGGAAGCTATTTTTAGTGTTTTCCATGGCAGGCTTTGTCTAACCACGCTGGTATTACTGACCACAGGTTAGTGATGGTGAGGTCTAGCTCTGACACGTTTCATCGCTCTAACAAGAAAAGGGGGTCTGCCAAGCACATTAAAAGCTGGAAAATAACTAGGCTAAATGACACCTTGTTTCATCTGTTCTCTCCAAGCTGGTATTCTGTTTGCAGTGAACACAACCCTGAGGGCAACCCACTGTTAGCTCCATGATCAATGGGAAGACATGCTGGCCTCAGTTTTACAAACCTAATTATTTTCTTCAGAAAGCTGTCTGAAACTAAAAGGCATCTGACCAAAAATCTTTCCTATCCCTGGAGCTTAGAGGAATTCAGTCATTGCA